AAGACTAACTTTCATGCATTCGCCTACTGACTGACAGGCCACATTTCTGATCGGAACATCACAGCGTATACTTGACCAAGAACCATATCATGTCGGCACCATTGGTGTCAAGTGTTAGAAAAAGCTGTCCTTGTCTTTCCAATTCTGTCTCCACCCAGTTGCATAAGTTTGTCCAATATATTGACTGGCTGCTTTGCTGTCATGAGTTTTGCTTGCGCGCCCATCCAGTGCCTTGGCGGCAATTTACACCACGCTGGAGTACAGTGAATGCCAAGTCATACGGTAGGAATATTTAGCTTATTTAAACCGACAGGAATCTGTGAAGGATCGGAACCAAGGAGAACAATATCATCCACGCACTAAGCGTCCATGAGTGGACACCCGGAGAGCATTTTGATCCACGAGGTTTCAGATGCAGGCAATCATGTTTCAAGCGGCGCGTCAATAGTAAATCTGAAGAAGAGTGACCTTGTCTTGCACCACTGGACGTGCTGGACTCAGGTGACAGTTTATCGTACACCCGTAGTGCCCACAGGAGTTTACATAGTGTCCTCCTACGGGGAAGTCAGAGTTGACTTATTTGATCACCTGACACCATTCTAGTTTGTGTTGATCGGCGGAGTCAAAAGCAGCCATCAGATCAAGAAAAACAACTTTGGACGTTTGAAAGCGTGTCGCTGTTCGGCAACCTGTCTCAAGGTAAGGAAATCGGCATCACATCTTCGTCTAAGATGAAACCCAGTTTAACTTTCATGATCCTGTCCTGATATTCTATCAACCTGTTGAAAATAATGCCAGAAATTACCTTAGATACTGCGGTTGATGCCACGATAGTTGCCACATGGCATTCTTGTGCTCATTTTGGAGATTCAGATTACGGCCACCACGCTTTATCCCACCGATGTTCTGTTTTCGTTCTGAATCTTTGAAATAAGGTCGTCAGACTGCTCCCCCGGGTTTCACCATCTTCCTTAAAGCCTGCATGATGCGGACCGTTCGGGTCTATGCCTTGTCGCGTTGAAGATTTATATCTCGCGCTGGACATCGGTTGTCGATAGCTGGCTGATGTCGATGTTCCGTTCGGGTTTAACGGGTTGAAAAAAGCCAGCTGGATTATTCTTAAAATGTCTGACCCATCGTTCCAGTCGAAGATTCTGCATTCCTGGTCGACCTCGTTTGCGAATAGTTTCGCCAATACAATTTTTGAATCACTTGGTCCAATAAGCGGAAATAGGGCGCGGCTGTTTCCGGCAGCGGAAGCCTTTTCCATCTTCTGGGCCCTCCAGCCTACCAGTATTCTCTGTCATTCTTCAGGCTGTTAGTCGTCCGACTTTCGAGGGACAATGACGATTTTGAAGGATCCGCATGCATCGTTGTACTCGTTAGTTGCTGGCGTGACTTTTCTGGCGTCTTGTAAGATCCACCGGTCTCGATAAAATCCTGTGTTCACCTGCTTAGGAGGATAGCCCGAAAAGCTGAGAGCATAGCTACTTTCACTCTTTGTCATGAGCACCACCATGCGTTTTCAGTAACATCGATATTGTTGAGCCACTGAAATTCGTTGAACCAAATGAACGAATTCGCTCTGATCCGGATGCTTAGTCCGGGGGAGAGCGAACTGATAAATGAGCCTGTACAACGGTGTGATTGGTTTCGGGGTGTGCACCACAGATGGAACGACTGTTTATGACAGGCTCTCTATCGGTAACTGATGAGCACATGATGCAATTCGATCTACGATCGGTTCGTGGTTGGTGACCTCTATGTAACGGCGTGAGCGCTTGTGTTGAAATTTCGTACTGACAAAAACAGCCGATGTTCAGCACACCACTGAGGAAGTCGCCTAGTACCTGAGCATATGAAGAGGTCATACTTCATGTCACACACCGTTTTCAGGTTTGGTCGACAATCGTTACCGCAACCCGTATTCAACCGACGGGCTTTGTTAGGAAACCTAGGAAGGTGAAACAGGAGAAATGATCATCCCATTTGGGGGATCAAATATCCCTTCCTTTGTGATCTCAAGGGACGTGTGCATCAGGCTACAGTACGGGATGTTTTGTACGGTTGTGAGACTTGGCCTCTGTGAGAAGCTGAACTGAGATGACCTGTAGCTCCTCATCCCTTCCTATTCCTTTATTCACAACAAGGATTTCAGGTAAATTATGCTTCTATGGCAGCGAAGCATCAGTGTCTGAATACTGATGTGCTACCCACGAGGATGATTCCCCTTCTGTTGACTGCTCTTACCCACCACTATCTTCTTAAGCCTCCTCTGATACAGTTTCTGGACACCACAGTAAGCTCTACCACACCATGCCACATTGCTAAGTGTTTAGGGTGCAAAACTACCAACTGGAGGGCCCGTGTTTCGAATCTAACCTTTTTCTATTGTCGTGTTTGTGCTTAGAAAACCTGGCAGTATCTCGCTCTCATGGTTCCTTTTGGTTGTACGGCAAGTTTGTCCTGAAGGTGCGCCATAGCATAAGGGGGCGAGATGGCCGAAGTGGTTAGAGCGCGGATTACTAACCTGAAGGTCCGCGGTTCGAATCCGACCTCCGCCACTCGACTTCCCCTGTCTAGGCTTGGGCAACCTGGCAGTATCCCAGCCCTCGTGCTCCCTTCGGGTGGCATGGCAGCTAGGCACCGGAAGGGTGCTACAGCTGAACGCTTTTTTTTCTCCCATAGCATAACATTTCCCGATTGTTGTCGCTATTGTTATACGTGCTTCTTCAAACTTGCTGCAGTTCCAGTTGCATTCAACTGTTGTATTCATTTTTTCTCCTTGCAGTCACACTAATCAACGTACCCTGCCTCACCATTATCTCCTCCTTCCCCTCTTTTTACCCATGTGCTAGAGCTCCGTAACTCCCAGTCGCCTCCATCTCGTAATATCAAAATTTCCAAGTCTCAATTAATAATTTTCTATGGAAACCACCTCTGTAGTTTCGTTTTCGTGGTTGTTTTGTAGTTTATTCGCAATATTTCCGACCAGTTGTCTTCTCTGCATGTAGCTCATACACTAAATAGTAAGATGAGAACCCTGGGTAGTCGAATCCGAATTTTCCTCTTACTGATCGCGCTCTGTTGACGCGTCGCAATCTGGTACATTGGAGTTATGTGGTCTTGGCTTGCAGTACGTGAATTCCACGGTTTTGTGGACACCTCATATATATTCGGCCAATAAGGTAGATCAATTTCCCCTATGGAGGGCGCGATAGCACCATGTTTATACGTTTTCCTGCCAAATCTGGTTATTTGATTATTGCCAACACAGGTTTCACCGCATTTAATGCTTGTGTCTCGCTGCCCTTACGAGGGTTCTGTCGACCTCTCTCTCTTCTGAGGTTTTGATGAGTTAATCTGCGTGGCCATTTGGATGCTGCGGACGGATGTGGTTTGGCATGAATGCTTCCGACAAAACTGTGCAAACACACGAAACGGGGTTTCACACCAATAACCTTGCTTTTTCGATATGAAGCTGGCACCACTATTCAGTTGGTTATGTCAGCGAACTAATATTGGTCTTCTCGGGTGTCTTTGCAGTTACGCCGCATTATTTAGGCGCTGGATCAATCTGTCACTCCTTCAAAAGACAACAGATGCCTTCGCTTTTTTACAGGGAACTTCTTGTGAAACTGCTTGACTATGGCTCATAGCAGTTTCATTGGAACTGATGCCTTTTAACGAGTGATCTTTGCACCGATTGAATGAAGGCCTCGAATTATTTCGTGTACAGCTATTTTGTTCGATATGTAACTGGGGTAGTTGTTTTTACCTTCATTACTTGGTGCGCAGTTGATTCAGTAGACCGCGGTGACTATGTACGACCCCTAGGAAGGAATTTCCTTGGAGGATGAGATAAAGGAAGGGTCTGAATAATGTCACGTCTGTAGACACTGTCATGTGTTTGTTAGCCTTAAGGTTCTGAAGGTTTGCTACGTGGTCGAGCCCTTTGACGATGAAGTTGAGATGTTTCATCGATCGCATGAGAGGTACGTATTTTCTCCGAATGCACAAAAACTTAGCTTTCTTCGCATCGTACTTATGGCCCTTTGGAATAAAACTGGCGGTGTCTCAACTCCAAGATTTCCCTTTTTATGATGAGATCGACAGTATTCCAAGAGAGTTTCATTCCAGTTTGGAGACAGTTGCCAGGATGTCCCACCCGTCTTTTCTCCATAAAATCAGTGAGAGCAGAGATACTAGCAGACCATTGTTCAGTAACGTGCCCGAGTTTCATTTCTTAACATTCCTTTCTCTGGTGTCAATCCTGGATGGATAATTCGATTTTCGGGACCAAACATATGTGACCCCGGACAGTCGGACAGAATCATGTGGTGGATACGGTACCAACAGTACTCGTGTTTGATACAGCCGTCTTCAGGGGACCGAAGATTTGGTCAGATATCACAGGTTCAGTTGGTAATGGCATCAGGTCATTTATTTATTCTCGCGTCGTCAACGGTCATAAAGTTTTACCATACTGATTCAGTTAACACAATAGTGGCGTGTAAAGCTTACACGCAGTCCACTTTCGTATAACATGTTTGAAATCTGGCGAAGAAGTGGATTTTGGCGAACCTGACGATTCGGTCACCATCCCTTTTGCTTTCAACCTGGAGCAGTATTTTACAAAACCATCTTCAAACCAAACCTCAAGAGAAGCAAGCATCCGTGTCAATCCATGTTTCATGTTATAGGGTTTCGAAGACCGATTCGTGGAAACCCTTTCCAGTTTTGTTCTCCACTAAACACTTACACCGTAGCTCGAGATTACACGCAATCAGTGATTAAATACGATGGGTTGTCGTCATTAATTTGGGTTATAATTGTTGGGTGGACCGTAAAATGGTCCAGTCATGTGCGTCCTTTAACTTGAAGTTAGTTTCGAATATCTTCTACAGCAGATTCGGACAAGCGTAAATTCACTCACCGCTGTACTGTTTTGATTCATGTTCATTTCGATTCCAGGTCGACATGATTTCATCTCCCTACTATTGTGGGTGATTCCGGTCCTTCAATCGACTACCATTGGTTCATTTTCTGTTGCTGGAAAGATATTCAGAATGCCAAGAAACCTCGTCCAGGTCCAGTTGGAGAAACTCTTAAATTTGGACGCCCGGACTAAGGAACTGATAGCTTCCATTGAGAAGATATCTTCTGATGCCGGTGACGTGAAATATTTCCGCGAGCAACTGGATATTTATCAGGATGAGGTCAAAAGTAACATTTCCTCTATGAATGCTATTTTGGACGAGTTGCAGTATGGAAAAGCCAGCTGTTTCCCGTATACAAAAGTATCGGACTTGCGGCAGTCCATTTCTTACAATAGGGAGCAGCTCAGTTTTCTTCAGGTGAGTTCTGTGTAAAGCCTCCGTAGGTCGGAAATTGAGTTTACTATTGTCATAATATCGTGATATGTCTACAGAGAAAAGTGACTGGAAGCGAGCGTGCCGTAGCACCGAAGTGAAGGTCATCTCCATCAGTATAACCAACTAACTAATTAATAAACTAACCGTTGTACTTCATGATCTTATCAGTAGTGTATTTTAATCGAGTCACAGTACTGTGTTTCGCCGATGATTCCGTTTTGTTGCCTTATCTGGTTGTACTTGATTGTAACCTTTCTAAGAAAATTTTAGAGGTTGGCCCATTGGGATTGGTTGTGAAATGAGTTGCTCGATAAGTCTCCGTGGTAGGCATCGGTGATATATTTTGATTTTATTAAAATTGTCTGGTAATTGTTATTGAGAAGCCTACGGTTAAGCAATTTTCGCCCTTGTTCCCATACGTGATCGTACGCAATGTTCCTATTTGAGCCAAAAATATCATTTCCCCGAGTGGTATGTTGAAGCCACGGAACATTTAAACAGCTTTGTGATCGAATGAATGTGTGCAAAACAGTACACGACCGTTATACACCGGTTTTATAGGTTCTCTTTGTCTTTTCAGACGGAAGTCCTAACTGCTGAGTTACAACGTATGATTTACCTAAATCGGAAGACCCGAATCTCTCGGTTGATCAGAGAGCTTTGACAAAGCAACATTCGGACATACATCGTTAGTATAAAAGCAACCAAGTATTCGAAGAGTTACGTTTAGAGAATTAAAAAAATCGAATAAGTTCGTGTAATTTTGACCGAACTGAGTGCCGCATGCAAGTTGATGGTGATGCGAAGTGCCCAGTTTATATTTATATATATGTATATATTTATATATCGAAAAACGATCCTTGGATCTTCATTTCTGATTTTAATATCTGTGGGTTTTTATTCGCTATGTTACGATCCAAGTCTAAGCCCACAGTGCCGAACAACAACCGCTTTTCACGTGACTTCCCGTCCAATGGTCACTCCGTCCTGTTTACTTGTTCTTCACACCATAGTTGATGTAATACATTTGGCTTTTGCTCTCATCAGCATTCTTCGGCAAACTACTTGAATTGTCTATTTAACTTGTGCCAGTGGGGTGGTGGTAGAGTTACATGTTGCAAGTACCTGCGTGTAAACGCCTTGAGACGCCGAGTACCTTATCACTCGGATTTGGAATGAGCGCTAAACGGGGAACCAATGAACTCGGTTTAGGTGATATTGGATGAAACAGGGTAGGAAGTGTTGCGGTTTACACTTTTTTTTGCCATGGACGTCCACTGTGGACATTTCATTGAAAACTGTTTATATAAACGTATTTGAGGGACGAGTTTGGACTTGAGGAAACTACTGAAAGTCATTTTTAGTTATCCTCTTGTAGCAGACTTCATAGAAACTCCCTCCCAGAGGAGACCACCTGAAAAGAGCAGTCTCTCAGGTACACTTCATGCAACCCGCTTATGTAACATGCTTTTTACTTCATGTGAAAGGGGTCAGGCGTCATAATGTTTGCCTCAAAGCATCGGTTCCTAGTTAACGTTGCAGAATAGAGTACTTCCCTTCATTTAAAAGGTAAAAGTTCTCAAGCTGAAAAAGTCTGAGACCCACCAGTTTTCTTACGTTCATTCGAGCTCCAAACAGTCGTCAAGGGGGATTGATGAATGGTGCGGTGAATTAGGCTGAGGCACTCTGTTCAAGCGATACGTATCATCATTCATTTTCGTCTATATGTTGCTTTTACCGGTACCAGTGTCTTTCGCGTCTACTTGCCAGACATTGGACGTTTTTTTGTTACGGTTTTAACGGTACGAACATTTCCTTTTGACCTTTAAGGACAGTTATCGAAAGGCTATTTTCAAAGCTCTACGGCACTTGGAAGGTATGGAACGTGAGCACTTGATTCGTCGTCCCTTAAACCCTTCGGGTGACCTAGATGTCCTGAACAGTGCTTTTGAAACCTCAGTGGAACTCACGCGCGATATGACGGCGCATGCAAGGCGGTTGGCAGAAGAAGTCAAACTGGGAGCACTGAATGCCGAAATTTTGGAGGATTCATCATCACAGATCACTTCCAATTACGCCGAATTGCGCGAAATGAGCGGTCAAATGGGCCAGTCAAAAAGACTCACTTCCCTTGCCTATCGCCGCCGTTTGACGAGTTATGTTTTGTATTCGCTTGCCTTTACCTTCTACTTTTTTAGCGTGGCGGCCATATTTCTTAATCGTGTTCCTCTCGGTTCATGGTTTCTGCCCTCTTCATATCTTTGACAGACGTCAGCTGTCATTGTCCCTTGGGCTTTCATTATTCTTTATCGTTGTTATAACTGCTTTGATATTTTAGTGATTTGTTGATCTCTACAGATTCTGGGGGTTGCTCGCTCATCACCAAGCACATTTTTTCGAGTAAATCGCCGATTTACACTTCCGTCTCGGGATTTTACCCGTCAGTCGCAGTCCTACGTTTTCCCGGGCTTCCTCTTTGAAACCCGAGTGCAAGTTTGCTGCGCTTGACAAAGTTAGGTCTAAATTGTCAGTCTTTCGGATGTGTAGTCATCGAACTTGGGTTATTGCGGATCCCCGTCCAACCATACTTATCATTTGTGGTTCCGTTGTAGGGAAGTTTCGTCCCGGTTTGGACTATGGCTTAGCTGAAGCCTCTTGTCGTGTTCACATCACTCTCGTTTGAACGACCCTCCTTCTTTCTTGGTAGTTAGTCTGGTGAGTTCTCATCAAAGGGGGAAGTTTTCTATAGAGGATAATGTCGGTAGCTCAGGTAGCGTAGATGATCGTTGGCTTGTTCGCTGAGCTGGGCAATTTCGTTGCAAAAGTTTCATCACCAATCGAGGTGACATCATCAGTGCGTAGGTTAGAGCTCAGCAGCACTGCGCTTGCTTGGTCGTGCCGGGTTTTTAACTCCGGAAATTTGACATGCGAGGTAAGCGTGTCGCCACTGCTCTACTAACGCACGTCGGACGCACCCGAATCATCACATCTAGGCGGTCATTGGTGTTCACGCTTGGGAAACAACATGATCCTTCAAGATTCTACTGAACGCTCACATCCATCTCTGGGAATCAGGGACAGAAGTGAGACAGGAAAGCATCAACTGTTACTTCCTTAGCAATTGTAAAGGTTACCTAGAACTGCCTAAATCTGACAGCCGTGATACAGGTGAACTGCTATGCAGGACAGTTTCAACCCGGACAAGATAGCGATGTAGTGCTTCGTGGAGTTTAGCTGCGTGAAAACCATTGAGTTTGAGAAGGGTCAAAGTAGTCAGTCTGTCACTTACAATACTTCTTAACAGAGCTCCTTCAAGGGTGACATCCTTTCGCGTGAGGGTCGCCAACAATCGCACTCTTGACTTTCTGCCTCAAAAGAAATCAGTCTCACCTCAGTACATTATGTTGAACTAATAGTTGGTCAGATGGCCTTCGGTCTCTGCTGAGATTGGCGAACACCGTGTTCGGTAAACACCCGAGTTATTTCGATTCATTAAAAGCTCTTTTGAACTGTTTATGTCTGACAAGCAACTAAGCGTCCCAGTATCTCAGAGTAGTTTCTCTTCACGGCAGCATCAGGGCTAGGTTGTGTGGACGAGAAAAGCATCATCATATTACACAATATAACATCAACTTGCGCGATTCCACTGTAATCGCAACACTGCATATGTTTGAACACCTGGAAAACGAACTGACAGGATTGTGTTTCTTATTTGCCCGCTCCAAACTGGATCAATAATATTTCCTCGAGGATTAGAGACTAGTTTGGGCGTCATCCCGTGGACTTGATGGCGATTATTTGTGCATAAATCGGCCCTCCAGAGGCGACGACCTATGGCTAGGCCCTACGAAATGGTCCTGGTGCCGCGTTGACACCAGTGAAGTTTCCTGAGGGAGCAACGAACATTCCGGAAACTTCCCACTTACCTATCCCCCCTCTCGCGGAAACAGGTTTGACCTCATTAATAAACACACCAATAGAAACGCCACTAAATAGTGGTTGACGACTACAACCGAAAGTCGATTTTCCCGTCCAAATCTTGGCAGCTCCATGCGGTGCTCATACCTGAGGGTTTCATACGGTTCTGCTAGCCCAATATGTCAGATCCTTTCCTCAAGGTTAAACTACATCACAAAGATTAGAGGTCGACCAGCTCCGTGCCACAACAGTATTCCCAGACTTTCTGTAGTTTTCCTCTCGTGGTATGAAAATGGATGTTTTTTGCCTCTAGAAAACGAATTCGAGGCTTCACTAGGTTTCAATACGATGTGGGTGGTGGGCACTCTAGACCCCCTGTAGCCGCAGTGCTTTTTCATTACGCTTGATATGAATGATGAGGCGCTTTCTGTGAACAGTCGACTCTACAGTCCGACTGCCTTTGTCTGTCAGAATAAAAAAATCAACAACTCAGAGTCCGATATCCCCGCTGTCTCTGCATAAGCATCAGCAAGATGAAGCAGTGACACTCACAAACGCTTTTGAAGAAAACGTTTCAGACTTTTACGGGTGGCAAGGTGCACGGATGTCATTGGTCTAGGTGTGCCAAGTCAGGTGAGTCGACAAGAATTTTAGATTCGCTGCGGACACCCCAGAACCGACAACGGTTATTGTTTCGTAAAACACGATGCCGATTACCATCGATTTGTCGCAACCAAATTCTACCCGACGCTCCGCAGCACTAGCCAATCAAACGGTCAGATCGGCCACAAAGAAGCTAGCTATAAATTTTAGCGTAATGCGCTGACTTACAACTCACTTTGGTGCTAACGGGGGAATAAACTGAATCTGGTTTATAGTATTTTTCAACTGAATGTGCTGCACAAAGACTGTCGCATGGTTCAGCTGGCAGGCCATTCGAGATGTTTCAGTAAGTTTTCTTGACATAACGCATTATTCAGAACTTTACTTGAACCTCTTCGGAAACTGAATGTGTGCACAAAGACTGTCGCATGGTTCAGCTGGCAGGCCATTCGAGATGTTTCAGTAAGTTTTCTTGACATAACGCATTATTCAGAACTTTACTTGAACCTCTTCGGAAGTCAGCTGAAACATGAGGTGGCTTTTGTGTAGTGTATCCGCTCAAAGGATGTCGTGAACACCGAAGTGATTTCCCAATGGGTATATTTCGCCAGCTCCATAAAAATTTTGTGCCCACATAGGACATGAAGCCGAGAGGAGCTTGGCTCATCTGATAAGCATCAAGACGGGTAGCTGTGAGCTGCTGAGGGGTTTTGGTCAATCATCATCTCAATGAAATGTGTTGGGGATTGTCGCTTCTACTGTAAAGTGCGTGGGCTCCGATCGTTTCCTTCGTTCTCTTGGTGCAGCGAAGAAGAAGAGAACCACTCACCAGTTAGGTGTTCGCTGTTTGAAAGGCCCAGTCATCAGGTAAGTCTGTCGTCGGCAGACATCTAGACAGCCGACGGTAAGGAAACAAACCGATCGGACAAATAAAGACCAAACCGACATTCGGAACTTAAATTTGTTGTTTTTCCTTTGACACCTTTGAAATGGTGCCTGACCCACAGCCTCAAGACCTCTATAAAAGGGTGGCTAAGAAAAACGTAAACTACTGCCAAGAAGGCCAGTTAAGTCACTGTAGATTTCAGACCCCGTTGTCCGCTTTGATGAATGGAACACTTCAAGAGACTACTTAGCTGATTCGGTGTAACCCAGTGAAGGAGCAGTGCCTTTTGGCCTCGAAATTGGATGTGAATGTCTAATTCAAACAACATATGAAGTCGAAAACAATTCAGAGCACAGCATCAGAGTGGTGGTTTCTCTCCCCTGCGTTGTCCAACACTGGGGGAGAGGAACTAATTCATAATCTGAAAAACAATGCAGGTGATCTGAAGGGAAGAGGAATTGTCGGTAGCTATCTACTATCCTCCTTTGGAAAGACGTTGGATGCAAGGGTGTCATGGGATTAACGGTCTTTTTACCATCACCTTATCATCATCACTTATAAGCTGCCAGATTTGTCATCCTTTGAAGGCTTACCAACACCCGTCATATGTAGAGTCACGAAAATCAAACTGTTTCGTCGGATCGTGAACAGGATGACAGCTTTGTGGCCCTGCAACAAATTTCGTAGCACTGCCTTTCATATTCAAGGCTAACAGTTATCTCTGTCCTCGGTCTTAAGGGGGTTTTAGGCTTATTTGGTTGCACTGCCTATGTAGGGACGTCACTCCTGCGGAACATCACGGAAAAGCGCAGTTATTGCTCAGCCAAGTGGCGCCAATGGCGTGAAATACCAGTTTGCCATCGCTGTTTGCTAGAGCCTAAAGTTGAAGAAGACGAAGGGCCATATTTGTTGGTTTGCAGCTTTCTCAGATTAAATTGTACCCCCTTCCGCACCTGCTGCAGGTTTTATTCCAACTTAGCTGGATGGAATCCCAGTTGCCGTTCTCGAGGTCCAGATGAAACGGGATGGATCTCACTGCAAGATAGGGATTCCGATAACCAAATATATGCCTCGATCAAACGTATACAACCTCTCTGAGAGTGGGTGGTATCCCTCCGGCCAAGGTGGAGAGTTCCAACATATCAGAAAATGACTGAACACGTTTTACGACAAATATTTTTTGATTGGATGGCTACAAGATGAACGCGAGATTACTCCGTTCAGTCATTTCTCTCAGGGAGAATCCTTGTCGAAAGAGAAATCCGGTATACTAACGGACCTGTGCGAACTGTATTTATAGCTGTAAGATACAAACACTCAGATGCTGTCCTATCACAGTCTAAAAACGGTCTGTGGATTAATGTGCGGTAGATGCGTCGTGAATATCGAACGTTTTTTGTGATCCAGTCAGTCATTCTGATAAGCGTTCGAGGGTTCAGCAGTCCCCCATAGTGATTAATATCGTGTAAAAGATCTGCTGAACTTGAGCATTCACATAACCAGAGTAGCTAGTTGAACATCAGCGTGCATAAATTTGCCCACAGGTTGCGGAGCGGATAAACACTTCACAGGATATATACTATTTCCTAATATTAAGTAGCACGACGTAAAAATAATGAATTCTTCCTTGATTCACTATTTCCGCTGTACCCTGTGACTGTTTCATTGTCATGTGGGCTATTTGAGGTTTGTGAAGAATCATTTCAGACTGTAAATCAGCCAGCTCAGGCCCACTTCAGAGACGAAGAAGAATGAGTCAAAGCAAGTGTCTGGAGGATACTATGTCAGATACAATGGATACGTTCCCCCCAAAGATATCCCCAACTCTGATGAAAATAAAATCCGATTTTTATCCCCTCTTGATTTATGATGGAATTGCTCAAAGTGGTTGACCATAACGGTTAGGCCCAGTTACCTTCGAGCGATTTTGTATGGCTGGTTAAGCAAAGACAGCAAGAAGGTTTCCCACCTCGCTAAAAAATCCTAAGGCGTGGTTCCGGAAGTAGCCGTGTAAATCAGCTCTTAATTGATCTTATTACGTATTCGAATGCGGGACTCATAAAATTGAGGATCAAATCATCAACAGACGCGTGCAAGTTCTCTAATCGTTCACCAGCTGTTGCAACACGATTCCAAGGCTGACCCCGTAGTTCGGTAAATTTCTGAGGTAAATGTACGTAAGACGTACTCGGGTGTTGCGCTGAATGTTGCACAGTTTAAACAAATTGCTGGGGTTATTAAAGGGCACAGGTGAGGAGAACCGGCCGAACGAAATTTCCGTGAGCAGCTTAAGTACACAACACTTCTTACTTTGTAGTGACTTCGGCACTATTCATTCCTAATTTTTCTGAACGTGGAGTTTCAATCCGTATTGGCTGTACGACTTCATTCACCCATGATTTTCCCGTTTGATTGTTTAATTCGCAAAGTGAAGCGAACTTTTCGGTAACAAAGTGTGAGTCGTTTGACGGCAAGTAACATTTATTTGACAAGGTATACCTTTTTCGATACTACTTATAAGGTTGATGGAATAAGTGGACGGGCCACTGGTTGTTTCGCAATTAAGTCGGATAAACGTCACGCAGCCCATCTAGTGAGTCTTGTTTTTCACAAATGACAAAATAGTATCCCCCTTAGGGTTTATGCTGTGACGCATTCCGCAAAACCACTTCTATACTAACTTGTACTGAATTTTACCGATTATCGAAGATGTCCAGTTAGACAAGGTCAAATTTTATCACTAATTACAAGTAACATAAAGTGAGGCAGAATACGCCGTGGATTCTAGTGCTCACATGCCACGGAACTTCTGGGAAGCAATAATACACGTACACAGTGGGAAATTTTAACTTCTCCCGGCTTTCTGTAGACCAACACTTGTTAATATCATGAACTATGCATAAGAAACGGTGATCACGTGAGCATTTTCTCCTAGCGGGTTCGACTATTTGGACGGCAGGGGGTCTGTGGTAAGTAATTAATACGACCCGCCAACAAAGTCGATCATTCGGACATGAAAGATCTGTATTAACCTATCGTTGCGTTCCATGGCAATGATACCGTTAACTTTCGAAAAGGGCGAACATATCAAGTCGCTTTAAATGGACACGTGGAGAACAAATCGCATATTGTAGGTAACTTAGAAAATGTTGATGACCAGAAGGAAGAAGGAAATCTTAATTTTTGACTGATCAGAGGACACCGCTCCGCATGAAATAAGACTGTCCTTCTTCTCCACGAATACACACCATGCCACAGCCAATGGGCATGATCAAGTGACCCAGTGGATAAAATCAACGGAACAAGAGTTATTCAGCTGGAGAAGGTTTGGGACCGACTGAGAAGTCATCGTTTCAAAAGACCTTGGTAAACAATCGGTAGTTTTTATTTGAAAAACGTTTCACTTTTGACACAAAAGCTTCGTGGCCTGATGAAGCTCTTCTGAAACGAAAGTTATTCAGTGGGTTTACATCTTGTTTTTATTCGAGTTCGTCAAATATATGCAGCGATTATATAAAACACAGAAAAGATTCAGCCGCTACAGCTACTTTAGTGTTTTGCTTGCACTTTGTGATCCGAGATGGTGCCAGAATAATAGGTTGTGTATTGCCATTGGCTCTAGATTGTACCAGATTACGCAATTTTGAGTTCTATACGAAAGTTCTGACTTCATGTTGAGCAGCTGTTTACAGTAACACCGTGTGCAAAATGTGAGGAGAAAAGAGATGCTAGAATAACTACTGGTAGATTTGACACTGGGCAGACTTTTCGGGCTTCAGTGCAGGCAAAAAATTTCCATAACAACCTGGCAGGATTGTAGTATCATATTAAATATACTACGGTCACTTTCATAAAGGAAACTACTCACAAGGTTGCTGAGAACTCTTCGACAACCCAGCAACCTTGTGAGTAGTGAGTACTATATTCCACGAATTCCAAACACTCATTAAACGGTACTCTTCCAGTGACTTGCTGATGTACACATTTGTATTGGGCGCACAACGAATAAAGGCAAAGATTTATTGTTCGATACTTTTACCCGAGGCACAGTGCATATCTCGAGTGCCGTGTCATAAGAAGGTCGAATGTTACTTTATCCGAAAAGAGTAGTTAGAGCTTTATGTAGGTGGTGACGTCTTCGATAGGATAAGCGATGCTGGTAAACAGATAATCTGCAATTAAAGCTTAGTTGCACAGTAAATAATATCAAACATCTGAAGAACGTTCGTGTACGTTTTTGCTTGTCTCGGGATCAAATGAGATTGACCACTGACCATCTGCTCAGCGGCTACGCGCTGCCGACCTTCAAGTCCCGCACGTGCCAATCGCTTCATGATCATTTTTGGATATTTTCTAAGGCACTTTTATTTTTCGAATTTCCACCGAAATTTCACAATCCTTTTCAGTTGAAAATTGTATTTGTTATTTAAGTTTAACTCTTAGAGCTGAGTTTGCGTATTGGTGCACTTGATCCCTGCATCCAAATTTATTTACTCATAACTAAGAGTTATGCTCATGGTTGCAACATTAGTCACCATACCTAAAACACCGGTGGTTTGTTCGTTTGAAATCCAACCACACCGTGACTGGTCACTTCTGGTGATGCAAGGAAGTATCAAACTTTCCAATTCACACTTGTGATTTGCAAACAGAAATGCGTGGATTAGTACTTTAGTCGGAGAAAACAGGCGGGGTACGTTTTGCAGCACACGCGTGTGAATACCAGTATTTGCCAACCAAGCAGGGTGTGCTGGATCGATAGTATACAGATTCACACCAACCGTAAAAAACTTTCTTCTACATTCTCTAATTTCTATGAAAGAAGTGGAGGTATTGGAAGATCCTTTGCTTACTTTCCTATTTTAGTTAATAGAGCTATGATAGAGAATGAGGCACAACCAATGCTAAGCGTTTAAGAAAGTTGAAGCTCAGCTCTTATAAGGGTTGATATTTCTATATTAGCGATCTTCGTTTTCCGAGCCATCCCAAATTTTTGCCCAAAGCAGTCTGGTTTTTAGCTATCCAGTACAGATTCAAGCCATGCTGTTTTGTCGCTCTTTTCTCAACCAGTACTGATTCTCCTTGAATCAATAACTCATAAGAATATTGTGATTTTTTTGATGTCAGAAATTCATTGCTAAACTGAGTAACCCTCACAGTTCTCAATCACAGAAACGCTCCGCTGTTTGTGTGACTACTGGTATTTTATCTCCGATAGTTTAGTGGAGGGGGTTTGGCGGGGCAGTGATTGACAGAGTACAGTAGTCCGCTATTTGGCGGTGTAGAATGAATAGCACTCCCGGCGTATGGTTTAACGCGCTAATTGACACCCACGGAGTCATTTCTTTAGCCAAACCGAGGTCTCAGTGGAGCCATGAAGAGGAACGGAGTACCAAAATCGGGGGAACATCGAGATTTAAAAAAGAAGATTATGGACTAGACAATACCCAAAGACGTAGGTGTTCGAACCTCACTCTAGCAAGTGACATGACAAAGATGCCAAAATCGGTGCTTGTGGAATACATCTTGAAAAATTTATGCCGTGTGAAATTTACAGGGAGAGTTACTAAATCTATCTATCTATCTATCTATCTATCTAACTACCTATCTATCTATCTAT